TTGCTTATAACAAAATACATGAAACTAGGTGATTTATAAAGAAAACAAAACTTATTGCTTACAGTTTCTGAGACTGGGAAGTCCAAAGTCCATCTGGTGGTGGCGACAGTGACCCTAGGGTTTCACATTGCAAGATGGTGGAAGCAGAGGGAGCAGAGAGACTCTTCGAGCTCCCCTTTTAGAGCCCTCCAAACCATGCCCATGACCACCATTTTTAATCCATTCACTATGGTGTGGGTGTGGTCCTACAATCCAACCACCTCTTCAAGGCCCCACCTTTCAATTAGCATAATAGGATTTCTCACCTTCTTAACAGTCACAATGGGGTTAAAAGTTTCTAATACATAAAACTTGAGGGACACAATTCAAGCTTCAGTGAGGTTTGGGGGGACATAATTCAATCCACTACAAATGGTAAGGATGATGGAGCCAGAAGCTAGAAGGAAATCCCACATCCCACACCACACCCTGTCTGCAAAAATGTACATCCTGAGCAGTTGCAGTATCCCTGAATTCTTTATCCCTGGACTTAGGTTACATGGGGAAAAAAAAAAAAATCTTATTTAGTTGTTCATTTCGTTGAGTTTCTGTTTTAGGCAGCTGAACAGAATTCTGACTAATGCAGATCACACATTCGATCTCCCTACCTGGTCTTCAGCAACCAGCTGGAAAATTTACATTCAAGGAAAATAGAAACTGTAGAGACAACTGCCGGCTAGTTGTCACTGAATCCCAGACAATATCAGATGATGGGAAATTAAAAGCGTGTTGCTGATTGTATTTTCATAGAGATTCTTTAAGCAGCAGGACAGCTTGAAATTTAATTTTATTTACCATATTTCTACTTAACTGGAGTGAGATTGCCTTTGCAAGAGCAGAGGAGGCCTGTTGCCTGTAGGGTGTGATATGAAGAATAACAAAAGACTGGGTGATTAAAAAATGTTTCCCCTGAGGGGCACATGACAATATCTGAAACGTTATCAGTTTTTTTGTATTTGGTAAAGGCCACATATGTCCTGTAGGAGGGAAATCAATAATAATGACGCTAAGAATTATCAGTTATGAAAAAATTAGGTTTAATTAGTTGATCAGAATAATTACACCAGGGATCAGCAAATTATGTGTAAAGGGCTAGATAGCAAATATTTTTGACTTTGCAGGTGCTGTCATATATAAATATTCAACTCTGACACTGCAACACAATAGCTGCCACAGATAATATGTAAACAAATGGGCTTGGTTGTTTTCCAATGACACTTTATTTATGAACACTGAAATTTGATTTTCATATAATTTTTTTGTGTCACAAAAAAATAGTCCTTTTTGATTTTTTTTTGCAGCATTTAAAAATGTGAAAACCATTGTGGATTTGTCCCATGGGCAGAAGGGAGATTTTGAGTCAGGGAGTATGACAGTTGCTGCCCCACACGTGCACTCCCAGGAAGTTTTCCTCAGGATCCTGGGAACTGTGGAAGGAAAAGCTGTTGCAAGGAAGGGGTACAAAAACCTCTGCATTATCCTTAGCTTCTCTTTTTAATTCCTCTTTCCTCACTGTCTCAACCCATCAGCGGGGGTCAATTTAACAAGAAACTAATAATGCTTAAGCTTTGGGAGTTCTCACCTGCTTTAGCATCCCTGGGAGGAGTCCTAGCCATGTATTCATGTGATCTTAGGTTTTTGTAAAACTTGCAGGAATAAGATAAAAATTATTCTGACCCAGACTAGCAAATTGTAACCATCTTTTCCTGCCCCCCCCCAAACAGCAATTTATTGAGAAAGACACATTTTAAATAGAAATAGTGCATAGGCTATTTTGATAATATTTTGATAATTCAGTTAATGTTAATCATATGAACATATTGGAAATGTACTTACATTTCTTGATGATCTGAGATTAATACTGATACCAACAAAGACACCATAAAATATAAAATGCAACTATAATGAAAATCTCAATCAGAAACTAATTAATACGTTTGATCAATTCAAAGCGTATTTTGAATCCCTTCACAGAAAAACTTGAAAAGCACCCCATGTTCTAGTTCACTGGCCCAGACAGCCTTAAGGTCCCCTCAGCCTGACTTTATAGTCTTCTTCCTCATTCAAGGTCCTGGCCTCCCTTTTCTTAGAACATTTTCCTTTGAAAACTTGTAATTGTAAATTCTTTCTCTGCCCCTTTGATATGTAAATCTTTTGGAAAGACTCTAGGCAGTTTTATAATCCAGAAACATCTTCCTGAAAGACTTGGGAGCCATCCCTTTGAAATGTAATCATCAGGGAGAGAGAAGCAAACATGAGATGGGGTCCCATTTCCAGCTTATTGGCTTATTTGTGCTGCTAAAAGGGAGACATTGGATTTCCAGTCTCTTCTTTACAAGCTTTGTGGTTTTGAAAAGACAGTTGCACTGACGACAGAGGCAATCTC